CTTCCAGAGGTGTTTAATGCATTAGGTATTTTTCTATACAAATGGACATTATTAATCTCACCAGAGATAAGTCACCGTGTATGTAACTTTTTTCTAGTTTATTTTAAAATGTTTATAAGAATTTCTCTGTTATAAAGATTATCTAGAAATTATTTTTTCCTTAGCATAAAATGTTAAGCTACTTCTATGTTTTCTTTTTTTCTTCCCTCTCTTCATCATTAAATTTGATGTCCAGGGAGGAGGAACAGGGCGGAACACTGCGCTGAGAGCTCTGGAAGGAAGCACTGGGAATCTGACAGAATGTTTGTAAGCTTTCTCTGAGCCTGACACAGCAAAATGCGTGGGACCTATGAGATCGTCCAAACCCTGAATTGACTTCTCACTTCCTCGGTTTGTTTTTGTGTTTGCTTGTTTGTTACCTGACACCAGGGCTTGAAACATGGCCTTTGCACAGACCCACACTCCCAGCCTCTTTTTTAAACTTTAACTTTTGAAACAGGGTCTCACTAAGTTGCTAACTTGCCTGGGTTAGGCTCAAATTTATGACTCTCCTGCCTCAGCCTCCTAGAGTGCTGGGATTACAGGTGTGTACCACATCTGACTCTAACTTCCTTAATTGTTAAGGGCTGTCAAAAGACTAGGATCTTTACTTTTCTTCTAGGTTTATTCCTTCCAGTTCCCTGACTCTTTCCAATCTGCTTCTCAGTCAGCAACCAAAGTTACCTTTCAGAAATGGAAGTCGTGGTATGCTCTGCTATGAACCCTGCAGTGGTTCTTAAGGATGCTGGAATGATATCCACCTTATCCCAGACCACAAAGACCCCACTGGTCTCACCCCTGCCACCTCCCTGCCCTCATTTTCTCTTCACGTGTGACCCAGTCCAATGTGTGAGCCTTAGCTCACCTCCTAGAATATGATAAGACTTTGCCAGCCTAAAGGACGTTACACTTGCTGCTCCCTCGGCTTTCCACATGGTTGGGCCTGTTAGCGGCCTTCCCTTCCCACGTACTACGTTTCTCCCCTCCTCTAACGTACAGTAGTCATCTTTCTTATCCCTTAATGCAAATAGCAATCATTGACTCTTATGTCCCTGTCACTGAGTGTGACTTTGTTTCCACCCCTGTTACATTCTGAGTGCTCTGGGCCATGTTGAAGCAGGAATGCAAACTTTCTTCAGCCGAGCAGAACCTGTAAAAAGAGTGGCTTGCAGTGGCTCTTTGATTCTCACACTGATTTACACATCAGTGTTATCTAGAAAGCAACCAAAAAAACAAAGCAGGGGCCAGAGTTTAGCTCGGTGGTTCCGCAGGCGAGGTCCCGAGTTCGATCCCCCGTACAAGACAAACAAACAAAAGCAGAAAAACCAGATTCCTTGAGAATTCTGATTCAGTAGCTCCTCCGGAGTCAATGCATTTTAGAACTCCTTTCAGAGACTCTCCTACCAAGCCGGATGCCCGTGCTGCTCTCTGTGGCTGTCACGCTGTTGATTATCTTAGAGCTGGCTACTTTGTTTCGCTGTCCCAGCTGGATTCTGATGAGAAGCTGCTGAGGCAGCAGCCGAGAAACATCATTAAAAGAAAGCACAACTAAATCATCTCTGTCTCGAACGAGGCTGATGACACCAGCCAAACCCTCCCTGTCAGCACGCGGATGAGATGCGCGGGGAAGCAGCTGGGAGAGATTTACCCACTTCCTGCCCTCCGAAACTGCCCCCTCACAGCGATTGCTACATCAGAACCATCCTCAGAAGAAAGGAGCATTTGGTCAATTGAAGAGAACCAGAATTCAGTTCATTCATATGGCCCTGGAACTGAAAAGCTTCCAAGTAAAACTTCAAATCATTTTCTTGGAAGAGCTTCAGATTTACGTGCAAATTGTGCTTTTCTGTTTTCTCTGTGCACAACTGCATTGCAAATGCCCTCCATGTCAGTCACAGCAAAACGATTTTAAAAGATTCTTTTACTAAAAAAAAAAAAAAAAAAATTATTATACTGCCCTTAATATAATTAATGGCTTCCTTAACCACGGAATTTTAAAAATATATACTACATTTTATGATTGCTTTTCTTTTTCTTTAAATGTCCTGTGGTTATCTCTAAAATAAGAGAATAAAAATAGGCCGGGGATGTAGCCCAGTGGCACCACGCCTGCCTTGCAAGCACAAGGTCCCGAGCTTGATCCCTGGTGGAAAAAAAGAGAGAGAGAGGATAATAATATTTAACATTAAGGCCGGGTGTGGTGGCACATGCTTGTGATCCCAGCACTTGGGCGGCTGAGGCAGGAGGATCACTGTGAGTTAGAGACCAGCCTGGGCTACATAGTGAGTTCCAGGTCAGTCTCAACTACGTAGTGAGACCCTGTTTCAAAAAAAAAGAAAAGAAATAATATTTAACATTTATTGATGGCTTGGTCTGTGCTTTGCACTTTTCTATTCAATTTATGCATATATAGATTGCCTCATTAAATTAACACGTGGGAATTGTTATATATGGGCCAATTGTGTACTTACTGAGGACGGGGCCGAGACTGGGACCCTGGCAGGCTGGCTCTGTAACCTTCTCATTTATATTTATTTTGATCCCTGCTTCCCAAAGTAAGAATTTTGGAAAATTAATTATAAAGAATATTGGTAGGATATTTTGGAAAGAGGAAAAAAAAGCATGAATTAAATAAGGTTGGGGCATATTGGGTTGAACAAATAGGTTTCTTTAAGTACAGGATTTCAGAGTCTCTGTAAGCTCATGTGCTCTACAAACGTGTGAAACACAAAAGTAGATGACATTTCCCAAGCCTTGAACACAACACTCTTTTCAGCTAAGACTCTTTATTAATTCTGAGGTCCTGGGGATCAAACCCAGGGCTTTGGGTGTGCTGAATACACCATACTCTACCACTGTGCTGTGAACCAGGGCCATGAAATGATGTTCAGCAAGTCTGGGTCTCCAGAGTGGTGACCTCCCTGCCTGGGAGCTCTTTCTTGCATTTTACAGGGACTAAAGGAAGAAGGGATGGGAGTCAGTGGTAAGTTGTCAGAATGTACCTTTGTTCTCTGCTGTAAAAATTATCTTTCACATGATTGTCACTTTTGGGGGGATAATTCAGCCATTACCTATGAAAAAAACCCTGTCTACCTTGGACGCCTAAGCTGAACCCTTGAGGTGCCTCAAAGCATTAGAACTTCCATTTAAAATTGCCTACATTTGGCTTTTTTCCCTTTTTCTTTTTCATAAGTGTCAAGATTTTAGATATAGATATAGATATCCCTTTGTATTCCTGGGGACTCATTCTCTGACCTGCAAATATCAAACTCCCCAATAGCACAGTGTTTGCATGTGATCTACGTACATCTTTCCACACACTTTAAATCATCTATAGAATACTTCAATCTCTAATACAATGACGATGCTGTGTAAATAGTTGTTATACTCTACTGTTTAAGGTACCAGGGGGAAAAGCCGATACATGTTCAGTACAAATATGATCCTTTTTCCCAAATAGTTTTGATCTGCGGTTGTTTAACTCTGGATGCAAAACCCTTGAGAAAAAGAGCCATCCTTATATAACATTGGAACAGTACTATGTGTATAATTTACAAAAATAATGTAATGAAGTTGGGTGGAATAATATTGAGGACCACTTAGCCATTTACATGAAAAACATTTACTTTCCTCATATTCTTTTTTTTGTACCAGAAATCGAACTCAGGACCTTGCGCTTGTGAGGCAAGCAGTAGAACCACTGAGCTAAATCCCAGGCCCTCCTCATATTCTTTGACCTAGAAGTTTGACTTGGAATTTAGCCAATTTACCCTAAGGAGACAAACGTGCATATACACAAACACATACTTAGCTATGAGGATCTTATTGAACAATTTGTACTTGTGGGAAATGAACAGTCTTAGTATCCAACAAATATGATTGGTTGCATAAATAATATAGTTTATAAACTCCAGTTCCCAACAGATAACTCTTAGAACATGTGTTGTAGTATAATATATAATTGGCCAAAATAAAATTTTCTAGTTTTTCGGTCAAAAAGCTCAGCTGGCAGGACTGAGGATGTAGCTCTTGGGTAAAACACTTGCTTAGCATGTGTAAGACCTGGGGTTTTGTAAGACAAAACAAAAGGCAGATGATAAAGATAATTGAGCCCATAATCCTAAAAGAAATGACTGGAATGATAAATCAAAATGTATTTGTGGTGGCTCTAAGCAGTGGTGAGATAGGATTTTTTTAAATTTTTTCCATACCTTCCTATGTTAAGTTTTGTATGATGAGTATTTCTGAATAAATTTTAGGTTCACAAAGTTCAAAGTTTGAATATGATAAAAGCATTTAGAGTAAAAAATACCAACAAACTTGTATAGCTCTTTTAGTCAACCTATTCCTCCTTTGAGGGTTCAAGGTTTTGAGTTTCTCGAGTATCTTCTTAAGGATCTATTACATTTATATCATTTTTATGTTAACGTATGTTCTTACTGCCCTCTATCACATGAATGCCATGTGATATGCACTGTTTCACATTTTGTTATACTCAGTAAGCTTGAATATTTGTCCTTTCTCCCATATGGGAATATTCCTGAAGGGTGCATTTCTAAAAGTGGAATTGCTGGATCCAAGCAAATGTACATTTGTAATTTAAATAAATATTATTACACTGCCCCCTGAAATTACAAAAACCTCTTCTCAGGGTATCCTTTAGTACTTTAATGTTCAAGTCTTCGTACGTTTCACTTTAGTTCCATTTTAATTTATCTAGGCTTAATGGATACTTAATAGGAAAACCAAATAATTTAAAATATTAAACTCCTCACTCATGGTGGAAATTCAAGTGCTGGTTATCCCCAGCTGGCAGATCACAGGACTCTAGATGCAGATAAGGATATCCTGCAAAGGTTCAGCTTACATGGGCACGAATAGTGTAGCAAGACCTCTGCTCTCCTTTCTGCTAGTTTACTGGCTTCCAGAGTCTCACTGGCGTGAAGAGGGAAACTCCAAGAGCTTGATTTCCATCCTGAAGTGAAGTTTTCACTCCACAAGAATTGAGGTTGCTGGTTGGACTTGCCCTCTGGTGCACTGTAAGTCGTTCTCATCATTTAAATGAAGAGAGACAGGCTCCTGTGGAGAAATGGAGTGGGTCGGTGTGTGCAGGCATGTGAGGGTATGCAGGAAGAAAATGAATTTTATTCCTGCAAAGATGCCGTAGACTTCTACTCACTGGCAAATGCAAGCAGCTGTACTGAAATGTCAAATGGATTTGTACAGCTGACTCAAGTTGCCAAAAAGAGAGCAGTGTAGTAGTTCCATAAATTGACCCCCTACCCAGCCAAACCCTGCTTAATATAGATCTGGCCTGAGCTTAGCAGTAGTTGCTCCTAGCCACCTAGCAAACACCAGTGAGGTTCTTGGGGAAAAAATATCTCAAGGGTGGGTTGACCTGAGACACTTGTTAACTCAGAGAACTTCTTGTGTTTTTCTTCCTCATCTTTTTAAAAATCATCTTTAATTCTTTTATTTTTTTCTTTAGTGAAATAGAGACAGAAAAAAAATGTCAGAGCATAGCAGGAATTCAGATGAAGAACTCCTTGGTGAGGAGCTCGATGAAGATGAGATCTTGGCCAACTTGTCTCCTGAAGAGCTGAAGGAACTGCAGTCGGAAATGGACGTCATGGCCCCTGACCCTCACCTCCCTGTAGGCATGATCCAGAAAGATCAGACGGACAAGCCACCGACAGGAAACTTTGACCATAGGTCTCTTGTTGATTATATGTATTGGCAAAAGGCATCCAGGCGCATGCTGGAAGATGAACGTGTTCCTGTCACCTTTGTGCAGTCTGAGGTAACCAGGGATGTGTGTGCGACCCAAGAATGGCACTGGGGACTGGGCTGTCCAGGGTGCGTGTTGCCGCTATGATGTCCCAGGACTCCGGGGTTTTGTTCAGTCTTTTTGTCACATCTAGATTATATCACAGTGTCTCATTCCCTTCCACAGATGATTTCTGGAACACTTGGTATACTGTGAAGGAAAAAATGGTCATTTCTTGTTCAGTGTCTGTTCTTAAACCTTGCTGTAAGGTGTGCTGTGTAGGAAAGCCTATGTGCTATAGCTATGAGACTTGGAAGCAGTTTTCTTAACTTTTTCTTTTTCTTCTCATCTTCTTTCTTCTTGGCACATGGGCCCTTTTGAGAAGATTGCACCCTTTTTTTTTTCTGGCGCATCCATGTGTATGAAATATTTCACATCCAGTGAAAAAGATTTCCTAGTTCCCTAAAAGTCTAGTCACACAGTGTGCAATTAAATCAGGTCAAATAACCAGAAATGTGTAATGTTCCCACCATGCATTGGGTATCAGTGATGTCATTTAGAAACTGGTAGCTATTCAGCTGTTTTAAATGGCATTATTTTATCTTTAAAATAATTTATTTTATATTATATTTAGCAAAAATGTGCATAAATCTACACAGAAATTCCAAGAACAAGGAATAGATCAGGTTTTGTTTTAGTGAAAATTTTCTGGCAAAATAGAGCACAATGAGATAGGTCTTCCATTTGATTGTCAAAGCACAGTTATAAGGATGGTGTTGCATTTTGTTTTGTTTTGTTTTGTGGCACTGGGGATTAGATCCAGGACCTCCTAGGCAAATGCTGTACCACTGAACTATACCCCAGCCTTTTAAAAATTTAAGACAGAGGCTCACTTAGTTGCCTATGCTGGCCTCAAACTTGCAATCTTCTTGCCTCAGTCTCCCAAGTAGCTGGGATTATAAGCATGTACCACTGCAAGACAGTTCTTTCTGAAAAAAAATTAAAAACTAGAATTGTGATGACTCTGTGAATTTCAAGTATATCAGCATAGTGTTGTTTTAAACATTTCACTTAAAAATGACTTAGTAAAAACAAGACAGATTATTCCCCCACATAAAGTTTCTTCTGTTATGTCTGCTGATACTATTGTATCTTGTCAGATTACTATCGATTGGCTGTCAGTAAGGTTTCATAGTCAAGAGACTTTAAATATGTACTGAGCTCAAAAAAATGAATTGCTGACTTGATCAGAATAGAGTTTATGATTTCAAATTGTAGACCTTTTTTATTTTTCCCCTCCTATACCAGGAACAAAACCCAAGACCTTGAGCTTGTGAGGCAGGCTAGGTGCCACTGAGCTAAATCCCTGGCCCTGATAAATTGTAGACCTTTTACAAGTGGAGGTCAATGGATTCAAACCCAACTCTACAGGAGCACCAATTCTAGAGAAAAAAACAAAAACAAAACAAAAAAAAAACAAGACTGACTACTTCTACCTTTGTTTCTTCCTCTGGTAAACAGCTTGATGGTTGGCTCCCCCTGCTGGGACAGATGAGAAATTTAGTGGAAAAGGCTTTAGTTGAGTAAGTAGGCTGTTACCAACTGTGGATTACAATCTATAACTAAAGGGGTGATTGAAAAATACAGTAAATGTTGAAATTAAAAATCATATTACAGTAAAAGACACATTATTGTGGGGTGTATTTAAAGTGAGAGGGAATATTCTGAGTATTTCGGGAGGATTTATGACTTTAATTTACCGTAATAAAATTTTAATTTGATGCCATATTTTTGATGACCCCACATTAATCAACCATTTACAGCAATTTCTGTCAAATGAAAAACATGGTAGTATGTCCTCATCACCTTATTCACCAGATTTGGTACCATATGACTCCTAGATCTCCCCCAAGGCCCAAATGCCCATTAGAAGTAAACATTTTGAATTAATTCAGGACGTGGAGGCAGCCACAACAAGACAGCTAAAGACGTGAAAGAGGGTTTCCAGAGCTGCTTCAGAGAGTGGCGAGAACAGTGGGGAAAGTGTGTCTGATGTGAGGGGGAATCTTTTGAGGAGAATTAATAGCAATATATCTTTTACTATAATATATTTTAAAAACGATAAATACCATATTTTACCACACCTCACATACATGAGCATTAACTTTTGTTCAGATGACCCTATGTCTCAGATTCTCATACTAGCTTTGAAAAATGACACCTGTAAGTTAGACCTGTTGTATACAAGAGCATAAATAATTGATACACAAGAATAAAATAAACTATATTTATTTTTAACACTAGAGATTAAAAACAGAGCCTCGCACATCCTGGGGAGGCACTGTACTATTGAGCTGTATCCATAGCCTTTTTTTATTTTGAGATAGAGCCTCCCTAAGTTGCCCAGGCTGACCTTGAACTTGTGATGCTCCCGCCTTAGTCTCCGGAGTAGCTGCAGGTATAAGCATGCACCACTGTGCCCGGAGCCTTGTCCCTAAAAACATTATTGATGGGTTACTGCCATTCATCTTCCCAGACAGAGCAACCATTTCTACATGTCTGCATAATCTCAGTCCACTCTGTAGCTGGCTTCCTTTTCTAGACACAAAAGAAACAAGGCTATTGAGCCTATCTCTGGAGTAGCCACGTACTTTCCACAAAGCTAGTAAGACAAAATCCAAACCAAGGTTTTTTTTTTTTAAGAAAACATTCCAGCTTATTTGACTGCCCTCATTTTTCTCATAGTATATTCCCAGGGAAATTTGATGTGCATGTTATATACGATTAGCAGGCATTTTAATAAATTTTAGTTAGGGCAATAAGGAATTACTGGTAACCCAGGGATGTTGAGTACAAAGATGTTTTTTTAGCTATATATGAGGAATGTATTGAGGAAATGCCATAAAATTTTCAAAACAAACACATTTGTAACTGCTTCTGGAATTAAATGCCATTTTGAAAAGCAACAGTTTTTTAAAAATTAACTGCATTTTATTTTAATACAGTTGGTGTCTTATACCCTCAGGTCTACATCCTTAGATCCAACCAACTGTAAATAAAAAAAAAATAGTTCTTAAAAACTTGAATCTGAGCTAAACATATATAGACTTTTTTCTTTATCATCACTCCCCAATAGCAATAGAATTTACATTGTGCTGGGTATTGTGAGTCATCTAAAGATGACCGAAAGTACCTCTAAAAGGGGAGATGTGTATAGTTATATACAGATACCATAACTCTTCTTTATAAGGGACTCGATCACCCATGAATTTGGGTAGCCCAAGGGGTCCTGGAGCCAATCCCCCAGTGACACCAAAGGGAATCGCTCTATATGGATGGGATCAACACAGATGAAAATAAATTTTTACTTATGTGAGTCTATAAAAATGTGTCTTTATTACAGTTGTGTTTTGAAATGACTTTAGAATTATGTCATATAAAAAGCGAAAGTCAGGGCTGGTGAAGCTCAGTGGTAGACCACTTACTCGCCTAACATAGACAGGCCTTAGGCTCAATCTCCAGAAAAGGAAAAGAAAAATAAAAGTGAAAGTCTTCCAAATGCTTCCCCTCTTCAGACTTTTCTTAACAGTTATTGCTCTTTCTCAGAAACAACCACAAGCCTGAAACATTGCAACAGTGTTTTCTATTCCAACAGCTTTTCCCAGCACAGTGGTACTGCACACGTGGTATTGGCTTGCTTTTTTGTTTTCCTAATATAAATTTTGGCTTGATTTTTTTTTCATTTAAAATAAATAACTCTCACTTAGATATTTTTATCTCTGGTAGATATTGCTGAACTTCCTCTTTGTTCACCGCCCTGTATTCTAACTCTCACAAACCTGTCTTGTAGGGAAACACTCAAGAACAGCCTGAAAGAGACAGAAGTAATAAAAATGTGCCCCAATTTTTAAGAGAAAAGCTCAATAATGAAATAGCTGCAATTAAAAAGGAATCAAAGAGCAGCAATGACAGCGAGGATGAGGAAGACGAAGATGATGCTAGCGAAGGCGATGAAGATGATGGAGGAGAAGATGATGGGGAAGGGAATGGTGACAAGACAGAAAGAGAAGAGGAAACGAAAGCAAAGCAACGAATCAGAAACTGTGAGAGCAACTGCCAACAGGAAACTACTGGAGCCGTCAAGGAACAGGCAGACCAACCAGAGGCCCAAGAAAAAAGTGAGAAAAAAATATCAAAATTAGATCCTAAGAAGTTAGCTCTAGATACCAGTTTTCTGAAAGTAAGTGCAAGGCCTTCGGGGAACCAAACAGATCTGGATGGGAGCTTAAGGAGAGCAAGACAAAACGACCCTGACATGAAGGAACTCAACCTGAACAACATTGAAAACATCCCCAGGGAGATGTTACTGGACTTTGTTAATGCCATGAAGAAGAACAAACACATCAAAACTTTCAGTCTGGCAAATGTGGGCGCCGATGAGAGCGTGGCATTCGCCTTGGCCAACATGCTGCGTGAGAACAGGAGCATCACCACGCTCAACATTGAGTCCAACTTCATCACGGGCAGAGGCATTGTGGCCATCATGAGGTGTCTCCAGTTTAACGAGACACTTGTCGAACTTCGATTCCACAATCAAAGGCACATGCTCGGCCACCAAGCTGAAATGGAGATATCCAGGCTTTTGAAGGCCAACCATACTCTCCTGAAGATGGGCTACCATTTTGAGCTTCCGGGGCCTAGAATGGTGGTAACTAATCTGCTCACCAGGAATCAGGATAAACAAAGGCAGAAAAGGCAAGAAGAACAGAAACAGCAGCAACTCAAAGAACAGAGAAAGTTGATAGCCATGTTGGAGAATGGTTTGGGGCTACCCCCGGGGATGTGGGAGATGTTGGGAGGACCCATACCTGATTCCAGAATGCGGGAGTTCCTCCAGCAGCCTCCTCAGCCTCCTAGTACCCAACTAGCTCCCTTCAGCCTAAGAAATGAGTTGATGACAAAACCATCACCGTCTCCCCAGTACAAGACGGACCCTGACTCCTTCCGAGGGGTGAAGCTGAAGAGGATCCAGCGCAAATCTCGCATGCCGGAAGCCAGAGAACCGCCAGAGAAAACCAACCTCAAAGATGTGATCAGAACACTGAAGCCAGTGCCACGGAACAGGCCGCCTCCATTGGTGGAAATCACTCCCAGGGATCAGCTCTTGAATGATATCCGTCACAGCAACATCGCCTATCTTAAACCTGTAAGTAGAAGGAGGGGAAAATGGTGACAACCACCACAAGAGACGTATCCCAATTCTGTTCCCTGTACCTTTTAACACAAGGAATACGAATGGTGACTAGCTGGGGGAAGCCAGGAAGCATAAGTCTCAGATAGTGCTTGTCCCTAAAGACCTAACAGCTGTGTGACTACTGTGTCCATCATGTTAGCAGCTGACATTTATTGAGCACTTTCTATAAGCCAGGATGGTCGTATTGATGAGCACATATCATCTTACAATTGCCTACGTAGGCACCACTATCCTTCGCATTTAAGAGGAGGAGGCTTGGCCAGTAGAGTACTGTAGTGCAGCAGGAGCGTGTTGCACCCATGAAAAGATGAGGCTGAGGCTTTGAGAAGTTGCTAACATGCCTAAGAGTTGTGGCTAAGGAGTGGCAGTTCTGAGTCAAACTTTGATTCACCCTGCTGTTCTGCACCCTCCAAGCGTATGTGCAAAATGACACCATCCTAGCCACACACAGATGCTGGGAGATCCCCCAGGGCCTGCTGGGAGGAGTAAACAAGAAGGAGACCTAATTGGGCCAAGTTTATAAGTATCTCAAAAACCTCTAAAGATGGTTGATTCTGTTTTGGTAAACAAAGAGAGATTACCCACAATTGCATTTATACACTTCGCCTTTTATTTTCTTTTGGTGGTGTTGGTACAGGGATTGAACCCAGTGCCTTGGCACTGAGCTACACCCCGGCCCCTTTTTTATTTTTGAGGTAGAATTGCTAAGTCGATGATCCTCTTGCCTCAGTCTCCCAGAGTGCTGCTCCCAATTCACATTCTTCAGTTACTAGGTGGATAGATGAACGGTAGCCTTCAAGTTAGAGTGTCCATGAATCCAAAGAGTTTGAAAATATTTACCGTTCTCTCAGTTTTAATGTTTACTATGACTCAATATTGCCATTAAGTGAAAAAGTTCTCTTTGCAGCAGCCAAGGTTGCAGCAAGGAATTTTTGGAGGTCATTATAGTGACGGCACTTGTAGAGGCTGAAGGGTGTGTGTCCATGTTACATCAATCTATATGTGACTGTGTGAATGTCTTGTGTGTAATTTATCTGAGAGATTTTACCTTGACAGCAGAGTCAGAATATTGTTTCATCATAGATTCACACATTTTAAAAATGTGTTAAACAGATTCGCGTGCAAACTTGTACTTTTTCTATTTTAAAGAGCTTTATATTCTAAAATGAGATCATTGTTACTTCCCCAGCACCACATTTAAGAAGATAATCGCTATTTATTCACATATATACATATTTATATCTCTTCTTCCCATCTTTTAGAAATATAGAGCTGGGGATTTAGCTCAGTGGTTCTGGTGCCTGCTTTGCAAGCTCAAGGTCCTGAAGTCAATCCCCCATACCACCAAAAAAAAAAAAAACCAAAAAAAAGAAATATAGAATTACTCATATTCCATTTTTTTAATCAAAGATGTCTTTCATCAATGATTCGGGGCAGCCTTAGCTTTCCGGGATGAGTGGTGGGAGAGCAATAGAGGTCACATGGGGCCAGTTGTGGTTCTTTGCTTGACCTTGGGCACAACTTCAAGACTGCACCGGCTCTTCTCCCGACAGCCAGCCGCGGGGTGAATGAGGGTGTTTGAGATAATGAAACACTCCATCGTTTCCTTCATAATCTGTCTTTGGTGAAGAATAACCTAGCCACCCTGATGGCTCTAAACCGGGAAATAACTGTCCAGACAGAATGACAGTCTTATCTTGGAATCTGTGTGACAGGTGGCGTGTAGATTCAGAGGGAAATGAGAAACGGAGTTCAGACAGTTATCTGAGCCGCCTCCCGGATTTCCAAGGGAAGGTGCCCTGAGTCGATTCCGTCCCATCTGCTCGCCGATTCATGAGTGCCCCCAGCGTTTGTTCATGTGAAAGGGGCAGGGGAACCCAGTAAGGCAGGTGCAGTCTCCACCTCCTGGAGCTGACAGCATAGATTTTACATTTGTCAGGGTCAAAACTCTTTCCCTTTTACTGACCTGAGAAGGTTTCAGCTTTGGGGCTAAATCCTAGAACAAATGACATTAAAATCAATTCATGCTGATATTTGCAACAATGCAACAGCCTACTAAGTGCTAAATTTCTCCTGGTTTAATCAGTTATAAAATGTTATGAATTTTAATTGCTTATTTTTAAAAATAAATCGAGAAAGTAAAACATGTTGCTAACTAAAGCATCACCTACCTGCCTTTTAGTGACAGTCTTGCATTCACCACTGCTCGGAATACTCCCAATAGCTTTCAACTATTAATAGGAATTGCTAATTTCTCCTGCTTTCATTTGCCTGGCTTGGCCTAGGACATCTGTGTTTTCTCATGTATTTCTCAAATGTCACACAACTTCATCTACTTGGTCTTGCGAAACACCATAAGAAAACTGTGAGTCAAGTATGGTGGCACACTCCTGCAATCCCAGTACTCTGGAAGGCTGAAGTAGGAAGATCTCAGGTTTGAGCTCAGCCTGAGCAGTTTTGCAACTTGGTAAGATCCTGTCTCAAAGTGAAAAAATTTTAAAAGGCTTGGGGATGTAGCTCAGTGTGAAGGCCCTGGGTTCAGTCCCCAGCAAAAAAGAAAAAAGAAAAGAAAGGGCTAGGTATGGGAGCACAAGCCTGTAACCCCAGTGCTCGGGAGACTTAGGCAGGAGGATAACCATGAGTTCAAGATCAGTCTGGGCTACATAGTGATTTCAAGGCCAGCCTGAACCACATAATGAGACTCTGGCTTGAAAAAACAAAATAACAACAACAAACAAAAAAAAAAAAAAAAAGGAAAGAAAAAGAAAATGTGAAAATGCATTTGCTTTACTAATATCATCTTGTTCCCTGCTGCTTTGTTTCCTTGCCTTTCTACATACATAATAAATATCTGCTTGAAAGGCAAGTCATACTATAATCTTTTAATACATCTTACTTTTTTATCTTTTTATTTTGAAATAATTTTTGACCAATAGAAATTCAAAAATAGCATAACATACCCATCACATTTTACCACAGTTGCCTTATCTTGCTTTAAAAGCCATTTTAGGTTGCAAAGCACATGCATGTGTGCTGCCCCAACAGGGTGTGTAACTCTTTGGGGCAGTGACAGAATGCAGAGCTGTGATGTGTCACCCTTATACCTGTGGCCAGCTGATGTGCAACGCCACTAATTTTAAGATTCATTCTGATTTCTTAGCTGGGAAAACATCACAAACATGCCTCGTAGACTCAAGGAAATACTTTAAACACCATGAGTGGTCATGTGACAACACCCTGAGAGGAAGGGATATTTTTGGTCCTTCCCATAAAACATAATAATCACTTTATAGAGGTGAAATGAGAAGTTTATGGCTTTGGGGTACACATGCCCTCCAAACCCCTTAATCTTCAAAAATGGGATTAAAATTAACACTCAATTTTGAAATCCTGTTTTTTTTTTTAAACTAATGTTCTTAATTAAAATATTGACTGCTCAAAAACACATCCAGAAATGATTTATTCTTGGAAAAACTTTTTAAAATATTTTTCCCTATAGACTTGGAAATACCGATTTTGAGCACATTGTAAGAATGAATTTTTATATATTTTTTGTTATGTTTTTCAGTTTGATGCTAATTCTTTTCCCAAACCCATGCTTCTGGCTTTGGATCCTTGAAATGAAGTTCCACCAAATCTGAATCTATAGTTGCTTAGTTCAGATGCTACCTCTTATAAGAAATGACCCATCCCACTCAGTTTAAGAGAACTAATTTCTGTAGGCCAGCTATCAAAAAATCAGTGGATAAGGCCGGGCATGATGGCACACGCCTGTAATCCCAGCACTGCAGAGCCTGAGGCAAGAGAATTGCTGTGAGTTCAAGACCAGCCTGGGCTACATAGTGAGTTCCAGGTCAGTCTCAATTACATAGTGAGACCCTGTCTCAAAAAAACCAAAAAAAAAAAAAAAAAAAAAAAAAAAAAAAAAAAAAAAAAAAAAAAAAAAAAAAAAAAAAAGAAAGAAAGAAAGAAAAAAGAAAAGAAAACCAACCAACCAAACAAACAAAAAAGCAAAAATAAAATTTGGTGGATATAGGCCAGATCTGCAGACCTGCTTTATTTGGCTTAAATGTTATAGTCTAAGTTTCAGATGTCTTATAAAAATTTCCAAACAGGGCCGGGGATTTAGCTCAGTGGTCTGTGCCAGTCTCAGAAGTGCAAGGTCCTGCATTTCATCCCTAGTACCGGGAAGAAAGAAAAATTCTAAATATCTAGCATCGCTTGAAACATCAGCTCTGGCCATCCTGGGTTATATTTACACAGCGCAGATCAGCTGCTCTGTGTGTGTGGTACATCGTGCTAGGGCTTGAACCCAAGGCCTCCCCCTGCTGGGCAGGCCCTGTCCAGTCAGCTGCTTCTGTATCTTGGCTCCTCGCTCGAGAGGAGCGCAGCTGCTCCATCTCACACCTTCCGAGCTTCATTCGTTTATTTAATTGGCTCCTGCAGAACTTTCTAGTATTCTCTTATTTTTTAAAGATCTTTTCTCTCTTTAACAAAGTGAATTTATTACACGACAACTAATCTCCTTTCCTATGAGTTAATAACTCTTAACAGATGTGACACCAGAACGAAAGCATTGTTTGTACAAGCTTTTCCCTTCCTGACACATGTACAGTTTTCTTTCGTCTTCAGAAATGTCATGGCTCTCTCCCAGCAGCGTGTTTGTGCTTTTCACTGAGGCGAGATCCCGCTTGCAGCAGCTTCTTCCCTTCACTGAGGCGACTGCAGCTGCAGCAAAGCCAGGCCTCTGCACCAGGCTCGGGACCATTTAACAGCCACTTCCTCTTACCTAGGACTCACTGTGTGCGTCTGGGTTGCCCCCAGCCAGTCTGACGACAGTGCTAAATTTCTCCTTCAGGAGGACTTCCAGATAATGTCGTGTGCAACCTTGTTTTTCAGAAGATTCCGTGAAGCCTTCATAGTTGCTATGATTGCAGAAGTTAAGATGCTGGACTGGAGCCTCTGACTTTGTCTCTGGTCCACGCTCCATTTTTAAGGCCTTTCTCTTTAACCAGCTTCTCTAGATTGTATCCTTTTGCAATTTTCTTTCCTGCTGTATCTCTTTTGGTGTCAATATCTCACTATCTAGGGCAAGACCCCAATTTCCCTTTCCCTCATTGTTACTTCTTTTTTTTCTGTCCGCCTCCCTTTTTTGTTTTTGGGGTTCTGTTGTTGTTTGCAAAACTCTCTTTTTTGTTATTAGTACATATTTGTCTTACACAATGATCACTTTCATCATATTTGAACCTGTATATAATATATCTTAATTGTTTTTCCCCCCTGGTCCATTCCTCTCCTTTCAAGCCTTCTCCTCCCTGCTTACAAAAGCTTTGTTTCCATTTTTCCCCTTCCATTTTCTCTTTTCTTAAAATCCCTTTCCCTTCCTTCTTCCCCCACATTTATTCCCCTTCCCATTTGAACGAGTCCTTCCTATTTCCCAATATCTATCTTCCATTTTGCTCCTTATGTATCCTTTAGGTTCTCCCACAAGAGAAACAATGCACCAGGCATGGGCACATTCCTGTAATCCCAGCCCTCAGGAGGCTGAGGCAGGAGGATTGCAGTAAGTTCAAGGCCAGCCTGGGGTACACCATGAGTGCATGAACTACATATCAAGACACTGTCTTAGGAGGAGAGAGAGGGAGAGGGAGAGGAGAGGGAGGGGAGGGGGGAGAGAGGTGCAGTATTTAAACTTGGGTTTCTTTCTCATTTACTTCACTTAAAATTATGGTCTCGAGGTGCATTCATTTACCTAAAAATGACTCATTTGTCCTTCTCTACCCCTTTTCCTTGTGACTGAAAAGAACTCAGAAGAATCTATAGGCATCAAAGCCAAGTGTAAATCATGACTTTGAAAATGCGGTGGTTCTTATGAGGGGAGACTGTCTAGGATAAAGCGTTGTAACATCTCACGCTCCTCTCAAAGAGCTTGCACAGGCCATGTAAACCAGAAATTATCTTTCCCTTTGGAAAGCAGCTGTTCTTCAGCCTGTGGCCTATCCCGGACTCCGATTCAGTAAGTCAGGACCTGAGACTCTGCATTTCTGACCAATCCCTGGCGGCACAGATGCTGCTTCCTGTGGGCTACATTTTGACAATCAAGACCTATGACACCTTGATACTGTTTTCCACCGAGAGCCTTACTTCTCTGCCTCCATTACGCTCTCGGCCTCAACTTGTCTCTCCTTCTTTCTGTTGGAATCTATCCATCGTCTGAGGCTTGTCTCAAGTATTACTCCTTTCACACAGAATCAAAGCAAACCCTAGAGCTGGAGATTCAGCTCAGTGGTGCCGCTGCCTGCCTCGCTAGCGCGAGGTCCCGAGTTCCATCCCAGGTACCAAAAAAAAACAAACTCCGGCTATGTATGAGGAGTGATCAAAATACACAGTGAATGTTGAAATTTTTAAAAATACAGTAAAATAGACATTGCCATTAGTCTCCCTCAAATTACTACTCCTCCCTTTGAACACACTTAGCCCACTGTCCTTGCCACTTTCTGAAGCAGGTCTGGAAATCTCTTTTGTGAGTTCTGTAGTTGAGCTGCTGTAGCTGACTCAATGTTCCAAGTGGACACAAACACAATGGTCTCAAAACACAAGAGCTGAACTAAATAATCCTGCTGAAATGAGCCTTCCCACCCAGGCTCTGTGAGTGTGCATATACGTGTGTACTGTGTAATGGCCACATGTGCAAATGGGTACCACACACTTTTTTCCCTTTTTTTTTTTTTTTTTTTTTTTTTTTTTTTTTTTTTTTTTGTTTTTTGTTCTTTTGTATGTATGTGACAAGATCTCACTAGGTAGCTCAGGCTGGCCTTAAACTCATGACAATTCTCCTGCCTCGGCCTCCCAAATGTTGGAATTCCAGACATGTGCCACCATGTCTGACTCTACATTTAAAAACTCTCTATGTAAAAACTCATTTGAACACAGGAAAAGCAAAAGAACTCCCTAATGATAGTAAAAGTTGATTCTTTCCCATTTGAAAAAGCTAGCTGGTTTGTAGTTTGTTTTTTTTTTAATGGTTTTTGTTGTTCTGCTTATAGAAGGCTTCTCTGATTAAATTATACTGTCAGTTTTTCTTATAACTTTATAGACTCTAGTCTTTAAAAGAAAACATTTGATATTACAGAATAATGAGATGGTTAGATTTTAGAAGTAAATGGGGAGCCAGGAGTCTACTTTATCATTTCTCTTTCAAAGAGCTCACTAGAGATCATTCTGTGACTCATTCATCTTTACCCCAGTGATCTGGACCGGCAGCTTGTTCATCTCTGACACACGTTATTATGTCTCTTGGTTTATTATGCTGGGTCTGTGTTGTATTTCGCTTCTTAAAATGTAATTTTGGAACCCCCTTCAGTGAGTATAAAAAGATCCATAATACAAAGATCACACTGTTTTAGCTATTCATTGCAACTTTCCAGTTATTTTAGGTACCTGGCGTATTTTTGTTCGCTATTCTTCCTAATTATCTGTTTTCCCTGAGTGAGCCTGCCATGCCACACACAGCCCTTCCTTTGAGGGAGCTGGTGGACATAAGGGCTGGAAGGCCTCTAGGCTTCTAAGCAGCATCCTCTGGTGGGCAGCGTGCTGGGAAATGTTCCTGGCCGGAGGTCATGCATGGCAGAGATGGCTGCAGGAGGCACCAGAACCAACGGCCACAATGGTTTGTCCACTGGCAGGTGGAGGTGGGCAGGAAGGGAAAAAGTGTCTCAGTTGTTGTTACACCAACTCTGAATGTCCTCTTAACTTCCTCGGTGTCTTCTGGAAGGTTATGGATGAGTACTCTCCTGAGATACAGTGCACTCGAAACCCTCAAGGAACCTGACTTTAAGCCATTCCTGAGACACAGAAATAGGAAGTAGATAAGCAGAGTTGGATTTAAGTCACTCATAGTTTTTGCACTTGGCAGGTGGGACAGGGTGTCACCAAATAATATTTTAAATTTTACTGGGCATCAAATTAGGAATGTGGTTCAAAGAAAAAATTTTTTTGTTGTTTTTTATTTTTCCCGGTGCCAGGGATCAAACTTGGGACCTTGTGCCACTGAGCTAAATCCCTGGCAGGAAAAGATCTAGTTTCAAAAGAACAAGTATCTTTTCAAGGGTTGGTCTTTTTATAGGCAGTGTATACTCATGGGCACTATAATCTGACAAATCTGGTTCACATCCTGCTCTCCCACTCCCTACCCGAGTTACCTTTGCAAAGGTAGTGTCTTCTCTGAGTCTGTTTTCTTTTTACAAGGCTATTATAGGGGCTGGGGATTTAGCTCAGTGGTTCTGCCGCTTGCCTCGCAAACACAAGGTCCCAAGTTCGATCCCCAGTATCAAACAAACAAGGTTATTGTAGGATGTCATGAGATAATTTAAAAAAAAATAAAGGTTAACATTGATTATTGTTATTATCATCACACAGCTGAGAAAACTGATGCCCAACACCAACCAGCTAGTAAGTGCTCACATCAGGCTGATTGCAGCTCCTGCCTGTCTTGTTGCTGACATGATTCGCGGCATGGTAAATGACCCTGAGACTGTCCCGGCATTGGGAAATGCCCAGTGAATGCTGGCTGTGAGGGGCAGTTTTTTTTGTCATGATTTTGCAGCGTTCTCAGGCTAGGATTTCAAATCCATTCTGCATCCATGACATTTTAGCCATAAAGTGTTTGAATTCCCATGATTGATTTTTCTCTTTTCTTTAAATGCTTAAATCACAGGTGCAGTTGCCAAAGGAACTGGTGTAAGAGGCTTCAGGGTCATCTGAAGAAGAAGAAGTTGAAACAAGGACTCTCAGGTTAAGCTTGGAGAGGATTTCTGCATACAAGAGGTGGAACTGGGAACCAGCTACCGGCTGAGAGGGGTAAAAAGCACAATGCTTGGGCCACAACAAAATGTAGGCAGAGGAAGGCAGAAGGAGACAAAAATAGTAGTAGTCATGAGCAATATTTTCTACTTGCAATCCATTTGAGTGACTTAGGTGAAATTTAGAGTCATGCTTCCAGAAGCAGAAGCTAAAAACATGTTTTCATAAACATTCACTTTACCATTGCTTTCTTCTGGTAAATAATAAATAAGACAGAAGTGTTGACCATTTATCATATTCCTGTTTTCACCCCTTCTTTCTCCTCTGCTGAAATGAACTGCACCGTATCTTGTTTTGTTTTGTTTTTTGGTACTGGGGTTCAAACTAAGGACCTTGAGCTTACAGGGCAGGAGCAGAACCACTGATCTAAATCCCCGGCCCTGCTGCACAGTTATCTTCAAGGGAATGGGTCATGTTTCAACCAATGGAAATGTGAAAAGTGAATTGAACTCCTGGCCCTTCTGCAGCTCGGAAATGGTAGGACTGCACATTAGCTTATCTCTGGAGAATCTCCAGAGCTTTCATCTCCAACCCTGCCTGGCTTTCTTCCTCATGACTCTCTTGAAGTGTTGGTGTGTTCTTCTGCTAAGGGTACCTGTGAGGGACAGAGCAGTAAAGTCACAGGATGGGAAGGAAAACAAAGAGCCAGCAGAAAAAGTAATGAGAACAAAGTAAACTCCACACAGAGGAGGTATGACCGAAACAGTATGAGAAGCGATTAAACCTAATATTTTTTTAAAGTGCCTGGTGTGGTGGTCCACACCTGTAATTCCAGCTCTGGGGAGGCTGAGGCAGGAGGAATGCTGTGAGTTCTTGACCAGCCTGGGCTACATAGTGAATTTAAGTTCACCCTGAACCACATAGTAAGACCCTGTCTCAAAAACACAAAACAAAAAAATATATTTTTTAGTAAAATGAAAAAAACTTTAAATGCCATTATCCCCTCTCCAGTACTCTCCCTTGCTTTGCACATATTTAACCCAGTATTCTTGCCACCCTCTGAAGTCCTTTCTTGTGAGTGTCTTTTCATAGCTGCCTCTGTTTCCTGAATCGACTCAAAGCGTTTATGGCAATTTCTGTCAAATAAAAACAAACATGGAACATCCTTGTTCACCTTACTCATGGAATGTGGTACCGTGTGACTTCTGGCTCTTACCTGAAATCAAAATGACCATGCCAGGCTGGGGATTTAGCTCAGTGGTGCCGCCGCCTGCCTCACAAGGGCAAGGTCCCAAGTTCGATCCCGGTAGAAGAAAAAAAAGAAAAAAAAGGCCAAGCAAGGAAAAGGTTTTGAATGGATTAGGACATCGAGGCAGGCATGCCATTCTCGAAAGAGGATTTTTAAAAGCTGCTTCAGAAAGCAGCAAGAACAATGTATAAGTGTGTTCAAAGCAAGGGGGAAGATTTTGAAGGTGATTAGTGACAATAAATTGAAACAGTTTAATCATCCATTGTCTGGTCACACCTTATGTGAACATTTCCTGCCGGTGTTTCCCATATACAATGACAACAGGAGATATTGCTGTTTTGTAGAAATAAATTAGAGGGACAGAAAATATAGTTATGGACAAGTTTTTAATATATAGTCTAGGAGTCTAATTTGATTTTTTTGTGTTCCTCAAAACCCTTCCACAGGAACCTTGCTTATAGGATTAAACTCCTTACCCATCCTTCAGGACACTCCTGGCCCCAGTGTACAAATCGTCTTAGCCACCACTCATCCTTTGTATTTGTCTTGATAAGCCAGCCTTGTACATGCCCAGTCCCTCTTCTCTGTCTGCCCTGCCACAGACCCACCCAGCAGGAAGTTTCCCTCATGTCCTCTGTGTGGGGAAGCCCATCCCAGCCTCACAGCCAGGTCCTATCCCATGTCCTTCACAAAGAATATTCCAGACAACTCCAACCTGCATTCTTTCCTCCTTCTAAGTTCCTATAGCACTTGCTTATCTGTCTTGGGCGGCCTTAGATGCATAGATTTTGAGAGTCTGTAATAACAGAAGTGATATCAACCTAGAAATTAGGAAATCGAGCTTTGGTACTTTTTCCTCTCTCCTTTACCTGAGTGAATATGGCACCTGCCTTCTTTCTACTTTTGTGGAATCAGAGGTGATACAAGACCAGCAGAGCAGGCTGGGAGAGGATGGCTGTAATGGGGACAAACTTAAAACAATACGTTATTTGGAAGGATACGTCAAGAGAGAGAAAAATGGTGTGGCTATTTTTCAAAAATAATTTGGTGTGTACAAAAGCAACCACATTTAGATAGTTATGGTTTTCAGGCAAACAATCAGCTGAGAGCTTTGTTTTCTCCTCCTCTGGCTAGAAAATATCCTCACATATAAGCAGTTTGGTTAAGCAAGGGCTTCAAAAACTAAAACATTTACTCTGATAAGACAAAGCACTCCCTACATATTTAAAAGCTTACTGTATGTTAGTAGTTGAAGTTCTGGAAAGTCCTGTGAATTTGCCTGTTCAGCCACAGTATTAAAAGTCAGAAATTTTAAGACATGCTGGTAGTCCTGAAAGAGGATTTTAATCCCATATATACTTTAAAAAAAATTATGTAATTTCATGTGGAGAGAGAAGCATTTCACACTGTATTCTTTCTATTCACATTCCTTTCTAAACATTCTAAATACTTTAGTTGAAGATTTTATTTTAAAATGTACTTTCAAGCTGGGCATGGTGGCGCACACCTATGGTCCCAGCACTTGGGAGGCCGGGGCAGGAGGATCTCATGAGTTCAAGGCCAGCCTGGGCTACAAAGTGAGACCCCGCCTCAAAGGGAAAAGTACTATTGACAACAGATATATATTGATTTTTCTATTATTATCTTTCCAGAACTCACCACTGGCCACTAGATGTTATAATGAGGATCTTTTAAAATGCTGCTTGTCCCTTTCTTCAAATGTATGGCATTTAGTTAGCAGCATAGACCATACAGGAAAATGGAGTAGGCTAAAAGGTATGTAACACCGAGATCAGGTCTGGGAGAAGATCCCCCTGGAATTCAGTGTTATCTGTGACTGCAGGATAGTAAGGTGTTAAGGTTTTTTAAGAGAGTATTTGGAACACAAGCTGAGAGTTCTGGCTGTGTAGGATACACTCATGGTTTCTAATGTTGTCGCTGAGTTTCTCAGATGTTTAATATAGACGGCATTAAATAAAGTCTCACCAAAAAAGACACCTTTAATAAATTTTATTCTTCATGTTTGGGTAAAGACACAGATTCTAGTCCATGATGGAAGGCATGGTGACATCACCACGCTAAAGATGAAGACTGCAGATGGGCGGACAAATTAAAATGCAGGAAAACTCAGGAGCCACAAATGCCATTGGTTTTTATTCTAGAACAGATGGAGTTTCTTCACCCTCATTGTCTTCACAATGCAGGGTGGGAAAAAACCTAAATGTTTTCCACTTCACTTATGAAATCACTCAGTTGGCAAGCAAATTAATAATCTATTTCTAAACACGTGGGAAATAAAAGGGTGAGAGCAGTGAAATATAGAAACTCATGCTATCTTAATGTCAATGTCTATCTATGAAAGCATACGGTTATAACAGTTGTTATCTAAAATCTTTATGAATTGCAGAAGCCAGTGATCATTCCCACTTTGACAAGGCTTTCGGTCTTGGTCAGCTAAAGATGCTCTTTAAATTTTACAAGATCAGCTACTACTGTCCTCTTTGTGCCCCTAAGGAATTAATAAAACGCACGTTCATGTCTTTCAAAATAGTCCAGTTAAAAGGAAACAGTGAAAATAACATATGGAAACATTGCCTTGGACACCTTTTCTTCATAACAACAAAAAAATGTGCACTATAAACAGAACTTAAGTTCAGTTTTATTTGTTTGTTTTTTAAACATCCATCAAGGATAATCTTGGTTACGTAGCTGTAACCTCCTGAAGGTAGATGACAAATACCTGCTGGTGAACACACATTGCTACCATTCCAAACATTTACAAAAATTTAACAAAATATTCTCTTGAACAGAAATCTTTACATTCATAAACAAAGGGTACACAACCGGCTTATCCAGTTGTACGGCAGGTCAAACAGGCAGCAAAATGGTAGAATCATCTTTGATTTTTTTAAAGAATAATCATACAAACTGAACTAACTGATACCTCACACATTACAATCCCGGGGAAGTTTGGAGAAAGCGCCAGGAAGGATTCAGAACAGGCTAACACACCACGTCTTCCATTTTGACAGCTTTGCCTCTACTTATTTATTTTTCTTTTCCTTTGACAGCCTTTTCATTGACTCCTATTGCCTTGATCTTTTACAATTTTTTTTTTCTTTTTTTACCCCTACGAGAATCCATAATTCTCTTTCACTGCCACACTGGAAACCTCAGACAACAGGAGGGTGGTTTTCTTCCGGGGACGTCAGAGATATTAAGAGTGCGGCCTGCATGGGCATGCTGCCATAAAACGTGCACCTCCTACTGAAAAAACACAAACAAAGAGTAGGTCTGGACAAGGACAAATTGCAACTCAATTTCTGCTGCAATGCTATCCTCAGGTAAATGGTTTATTCCTTCACTTTGCTGATATAGTCAGTGAATTTGCTGATGCTTTCCTCCTGCTGTTCCAAGGCCTCCAGGATGATGCCCATTGGTGTCCTCTTCACACCAATTCCCTCCATTTTATTCTCCAGCTTGTTCTTGAGATTCCGAAGTCTCAGCGATGCATGGATAAACATCACTGCAAAGAAGTGGGCCATAGTTAGCACCAAGACAACAATTCTCTTTTGCCCCCGTTGTATTCCCTCCGGCTCCTCCCACTGCTAATCTCCGGCCTCAGTTAGCTGCGGTCCAGTTTGTTTCTCCTATTGATCTGTGCAGGTAAGCTCTTAAAAATTGGGAAGAGAATCTAGTGTCAGACAAACGTGGAGCCCAGGATCAGTGTGTGCTCCATGGCTTTATTCTGTCTTGGCTTTATTATTCATTCTTGTCTGAACTGAGCGTCTCGTAACAGCAAGCGTCCACGCTTATTTATGGATTTAATGAACTATTAGGACTTCATCTGTCTGCTGTTCTGGAAAATCCTGCAGACTTCAGCAGACGCGCCAACACACACAAGTCATGAGTCGTGTAACTGCCATTGCACCTACATTTTTCACAATGCACGCAAAAGAAAACTCAGGTTCACTTACACAACAAAGGAAAAGTGATCCCAAACACGAAGACCATGACTCCCCCAAACATGGAGATGAGGAAGTAGCTGGCCAGCATGACCACCATCACAAACGTGGTGGGGTACTGCTTCTTCATGCGGCGGAGGATGTCTTTATTGTGAGCTGCCCACACGAACCCTGTGAACACCAGCACCACCACAATTCCTCCCAGGATCATGTTGAAGGGGCTCAGAAACCTGGAACAGGAAGGCACAACAGGGAGACTTGCTCAGCAGTCAGAGGAGCAGGAGGAAGGAGGCTGGGAAGAGGACTAGAAACGATTACTGAGTACTTGCTAAGCACTTTACCTATGACACATTGAGTCCTTCTGATGTTATGAAGTAGATATAATTAACTCATTTCTCCAATGAAGAAACTTAGCTTCAGAGATTAGAAAATGGTGGAAGCCGTGTGACTCCCACCAAACTGGTCAGTCTATCTTACTAGAGGCTGACAATTTTGAAAATGAGAGTTTCTCTCTTTCTATCTGTGTGTGTGTCTGTGTGTGTCTGTGTGTGTGTGTGTGTGTTACACTGGAATTTGAACCCAGGACCTTCATACTGAACTATGTCTCCAGCCCTTTTTTGAGGTTTTTTTGTTTTGTTTTGTTTTGGTACTGGGGATCGAACTCAGGTCCTTGTGCTTGTGAGGCAGGCGACAGAACCACTGAGCTAAAACAGTATCTCCTTGCTGGGCATGGTGGCATATGCCTGTAATCCTAGCACTCAGGAAGCTGAGGCAGGAGGATTGCTACAAGTTTGAGGTCAGCCTAGGGTACATAGTGAGTTCAAGGTCAGTCTGAACTACATAGTGAGACTCTACACTGAATAGAAACATTTTGGGTAGTTTACTACCATTTGTTCCTTTCCATTTTCATATTTTTCCAATGGCCATGGATTATTTGAATAACTAAAATCACCTAGCCAGGGATGGGGGCATGTGTCTCTAATCCCACCACTTCGGAGGCTGAGGCATGAGGTTCGTTAGTTCCCAGACTACATGGCAAGAGCCTGTTCAAAAAAAACAAAAAACACTTTTATATTTAGAAATGACAAATGAAGTCGGGGAAAGCATACCAATTGAAACACACTCTTTTACAAAAGCTTTAACGTAGACCACACCCAAATATTTCTGAGCTGTAAAGAAAAGCAAAGATAAAAACTAACACAATGAACTAAAGCAGAGGGTTTACGATCTAAGGAAACTCTTTTGTCTAAACTGCAAATAGGAAATGGTTGGGTAGCAGCAAAACACCAAAGGTCTCATACTCAGTTCTTTCTAAAATATTAAAACAGTAACTTTTGGGGCAGACACTGAGATTCAAGATGATTTTCTGTCTTCCTCTGGACAACACATGTAGTTTAAATGTCCATCTAAATAAAGCCCAGTTCAAAGGACAATGAAACTCTAAGCCCGACTCCAGCAATTCCAAATTTGCTTTTCACCTGTTCCTGTTGCTCCTGTTCCAGGGGAAAGAACAGAGCACAGACTCCTATAGAACTGGTTTTAGCTTACAGCGTGCCCAGGCCTCATCTATAATTAGAAAGTAACCAAGTTTCCAAACTGAAAAAAATTAACGAAGCTACTCAGAGAACTTCTTCCATGTTCTGATTACATCAATTCCATTTTGAGAAAATGCAAAATGTATACCAGTGCCTCTAGTACTCACCTGCACTTGGTGCAAAAGACACACACACACACACACACACACACGCACACGCACATGCACAGAATTAATTTCCTTTTCCTGGGAGTGCAGGAATGAGGGAAGCAGTTTTTGTCTGAGGTGCTCTTAGCTAACAGCTGGACCTGCTCGTCATATTAGTTGAAACAAACCCTAAGAACTTTTCAGGATGAAAGTTTCCATAAATGTGCTACTCATCTTTGTGTGGACAGCTGCCCCTGGGCTGTGCTGGGTGGAGCGCTGTTCACTGGTAGTTGTCATCTAAGAAGGGGGAGGATGAGAGGGACAGAGGTATGGGAAGACTAAAGTCAGGGGAGGACAAAAAGGGAAATTCAGCTGGTGAGGTGGCGCACGCCTGTAATCCCAGCACTCGGGAGGCTGAGGCAGGAGGATCGCTGTGAGTTCAAGACCAGCCTGGGCTACATAGTGAGTTCCAGGTCAGACTCTACTACATAGTGAGACCCTGTCTCAAAAATTCAAAAAAGAAAGAAAAACAAAAGGGAAACTCAGAACTTTTCATTTTTCTGTCCTTGGTGGATATAGGATCTAGTTATGCAAATGTGAAACATTAAATACGGTTTCTGCTGTGAGATAAAGGATATATGTATAAATTACCCCATTGCAATAAGTAAATCCTGTCTTGTAATAGTTAGAAATTATAGTGGAGTTATTTCTTGTTGCAAAAAAAAGTTCAGAACCCCATCACAATTTTTTTTCTTTTGCTCTTTTGAGACAGGGTCTTGCTTTGTAGCCCTCAAATTCATGGTGATCCTCCTGCCTCAGCCTCCCAAGGACTGGGATTTCAGGCATGCTGTAACGTGCCTGTTTTTTTTTTTTTTTGGTGTTTGTGTTGGTGGTACTGGGGATTGAACTTGGGGCCTCTGTACTGAGCTACATTCCCAGCTGCTTTTGTGTTCGTTTGAGACAAAGTCTCACTAAGTCACTGAATTGCCCAGCCTGGCCTTGAACTTATGATCCTCCTACCTCAGCCTCCAAGAGTGCTAGGACTATAGGCACCTTGGGCAACTTAGTGAGACCCTGGGCCTGGCTTATCACGAGCTTTTGTGGCAGAGTCTTAAAGGAAGAATCAGCATAGTCCCATTATACAGATAAATAAAGGACGCCCAGAGAAAAACATAGTCAAAGGGGTCCAGGGGAGAAAAGAGAAGAATGTTAGCTGTATGGTTACATTGTAACCCACCGCACTGTTACCTGGATTCAGGGATGTCCCCACAAGGCTCTAAGTAACCCTTTCCATCCAGCTGGTGTCAGCAAGCTCATTTCTCACTGAAAGACAATGGCTCTGAGTGGGCCGCACCATACCCTAACCCTGCCACACCATTTGGATAGCCACAGCTGGGCCAGTCACCAAGTTTTAGAGCCAGGAGGGGCCTTGGAAGCGCACCTCGTTTTATACAGAAGCAAAGTAAGCGACAGGTAAGTCAGTAACTTTGTCCAAGGCCCCCAGAATGTACCCACAGGGCTCCTCAGCGCAATCCAAGGCACACTTGGCGGCAGGCCCAAGAAGATCCCAAGAGGTGGGGAGATGTTTCCAAAGCAATAGAAGCAGCCTTGCGCTGAGTTTCAATTTTCTAACCCAGAAAGCTATTTTTGAAGTGTAGTTCTGAGAAAGGCTGACTCACTGTGAAGAGTGACTCACTGCTGCCACTTACACACAGCGCACTTCTCTAAATTGGTGGAGTTTTTTTCTGTGGGTCTTAAAAGCCCAGAACGATCATTGTAAAAATGAAAGCACCTCCCCACCCCGTATCTTTTCTTGCTTATTTCCTTTAAAATAAAAACAAGATTCTTAGCTGGGTGTGATGGTACAGGTCTGTAATCCCAGAACTCTGGAGGCCGGGGCAGGAGGATTTCAAATTCAAGCCTAACCTGGGCAACTTAGTGAGACCCTACATTACATGAAAAATTAAAAAGGACCGTGGCTTCAACCCCTTGTAGCACAAAAACACAGCGAAAAGCAGAATTCTTTCTACATTCGACAGGGACTGCAGCGTCCACCCCTGGCTGCCTCTTTAGACAGCTGCAAAGTTAAGCCTGGGACAAGGAGCCCTGTGCAGGGCCGAGTGAGACCTGGAATCCAGCCCACACTCCACTTGACAAGTGTGCAATTTGGCTGAGACTGCACCTTCCAGGACAGCCAGAGGTGTCCTGAGTGACTGTCTCAGGACACCTTCAGGGCCAGTAGCACCTGCCTTCTGGTGCATCTCTCCTGATTCTGCACTCCCTCATTCCGGCCTCCCTCAAGCTCTCCCTGCCTCCTGGCTGTACCAGGCCTTGCATGAGTGTTCTCTGCCTAATTCTCTCTGCCTCCTTCAAGTCTCAACTCAGACAGCCTTTCTCAGTCTCCCTGCAAGAGCACCACACCATATGCCTCTTCTTTACAGCATTTGTCACAGTTTTACATTTATTTCAAAGAACATTAAATGACTGTCTCTGGTCCCAGCTAGATCTGAAGCCGCTAAGGACAGGGACAAGACACTCTTAGCCACCAGCGCCTAGCACAGTGCCTGATTCAGAGTAGGTATCCGTAAATATGTGCTGAAAGAACAACCAAAAAGGTAAGAAGCTAGCACATGTTCACAGCGTTTAAACTCAGCAAGTTTCCATGGCCATGAGTTAAGCAATGTAAGTTTTACCGTGGACAAACGACTGCTACCCACCTTGGAATCTAAACAGTACTAGGGAAATAGTCTTTGTCCTTGTTCCTCAGGAGCCTGTGATTAAGAGGCAAAATGAAAAAGCAGTAGTGGGAAAAATAATCTAAATTTTGATGTAACTGTCAGGGATACTTGGAAAACGACAGAATGAGGCCAAAGGGCACTGTGGATGGAAGGCGGAACCTCTGTAACTGAGCACAGGCTGGAGGAGGGAGGGAGTGGGGAAGGGACAGAGGGAGACTCCTGCCTGGACAGACCTGTTCCTCCAAGGAACCCTCTGGGGTGCTGGTTCCAAGGATGACCCTAACAGTCTTCTGCAGTCATTTTGCTTTCCCAGCAAGGCCTCTGTCCTGGAAGGAACAACTTCTGACTTGAAAGTATAAATGTGGGCTTGGGACACAAATTAGTCTTGAGTAAATATGACCATTGTCTGCTGGGCCTAAGGGTGAGGGAGACTTCAGACGAGTTAAGGTGTAACAGAGGCCTTTCCCTTTTGTGAGTACCCTAACCTTGAGAGGTCCCTTACCCACTGAACTCAAAAGGCCTGTAGTACTTGCTGCATGCTTGCTGTGTACCATCAACTGCATCCGTATGCTTGGCACCATTCAATGATCACTCCCATAGAGACGATCAAATGATCTACTGTCTTTGTGGCAGTTGGCACCTAAATGTATTCCTAGCAAATATACCTTATGAACCTCTACACTTTGTCGGACATTTATCAAGTTAATTGCCTTTTTTTTTTCCCTTTGACATAAGGTGCTGCTATGTAGTCAAGAGTGGTCTTGAGCTTGTTATGTGATAGCCAGGCTGGTCTCAGACTTGTGATCCTCCT